GTTGTGTGTGCTGTGTGTGTTGTGTGTGTTGTGTGTTGTGTGTGTTGTGTGTGTTGTGTGTGTTGTGTGTGTTGTGTGTGTTGTGTGTGTTGTGTGTGTTGTGTGTGTTGTGTGTTGTGTGTTGTGTGTTGTGTGTTGTGCGTTGTGCGTTGGTGTTGTTGTTGTTGTTGTTGTCGTCGTTGTTGTTGTTGTTGTTGCTGTTGGTGTTGTTGTTGTTGGTGTTACCCCTGCAGCGTTTTTGCTCGGTTCCGGAGTGGCCGAAAATCGTCAAATCGGTGGTGTTTTCGCGTGTTTTTGCAACTCTCGGAGCAAAAAACACCGTAAATACCAATGTTTTTGGCGGGTCGGAAGCCCAAAACCATGGTATTTACGATGTTTTTTGCCTTTGGTAGTAAAAAGCACGGTATTTACAGTGTTTTCTGGCCAGCACCTGGCAAAAACACTGGTATTTACAAAGGTTTCACCATGTAGCAAAATGTGGTTTCTTGATCCGAAAAGAACAAAAATACTGTAAATTACAATGTTTTGAGTCTGCTCTTAGGGTGCGTGGGAGGTGTGGAGGGGGGGGGGTTACTAAAATGACTAGCAATCTCCTGAAGAATCAGGTAACGGGGCTGGCCGCCCTCCCCTTTACTTCGTAAAGTAAAACTCAAGGTAGCCCCTCTGGAGCTACCTTTCGTAATTTATTATTTTCCCAATAACGAATTTATCGGGTTTAATGCGGAAATATATAATCCGAAAAATCGGAAGTCCTAAAACCTTATTAAAACCCTTAGAATTTTCCCCAATAAATATTACAACCTTGGCCTTAGAATCTACTATTAGGTTACAAGGCTAGGTTAATTTTAATTCTCCTCCGTCCTTGCTTCCATCCTCCCTACTTAATTTTTCGTCCTTCGTCTTCCGTTCTTCGCATCCCATTATAATCCATCCATCTCCATCCTCCATCCTTCGCCCTTATACCTCTTCGCCTCTCCGTCCTTCGTCTTCCGCATTTTACCCTCTCTACCCTATGTGTTCTGTCCGTCCTCCGACTTCCATATGCCGTCCAGTGTGCAATCCAAGTTAGGCCCAGCTTGAAGAAAAACATAATTCATAGGCAATAAAAAGACATCCACATATTTGTTATTGTTTAATGATAATTTTCTTAATTATTATTTTATTCCTTGCTGAATCGATTAACCCAGTTGCCCGGTGGAAGACCTGCCTTTAGACAAGCCATAGATTTTTCCCAAGGTTTCTGCACGAATTGGTAATCACATTAAATAAGTAGTTTATTAAAGTGTTATTCGTAGCTCATACCATTCGTATTCTGGTATTATATCAATATATTTTTCTTTTAGTATTTTTAAAGGTCTCAATATTAGTAGAAAAAGGAGTCCGATTCCGAGTATATATAGATCTATTGGATACTGTTCCTGTTCCTTTTTTAAAATATTAAATGATTAGTTTAGTATTTATCTTGCCAATATGTAAATATATCGTTCGCAAGTATATTAAGTCGCACCATTGTTTATGTACTATATGTTTTCTATGTCAGATATTGGTTTTATTTGATTTAATATTATTGAATCAGCATTTATAATATTTTACATTTTATTATTGTACTTTCACAACTGAAATATTTTCCAGGGTGAAAGGTGAAATCATGACAACTTGACGGGGCGAGAAAGCCCATGTCACTGCGAATCAAACTGATAGCAGCATATAGCCCCCTTTCTGTACAACAACACATTCACATGTTTTTCTATTCATTTGGATTGGATTGGGCAATACAGTATTTCTCCTTCATTGTGCATTCCAGTTCCCTCTACGGGGCTTACTAGCCACGGTATGCCACGGTGATATACTGGACTGAGATGCAAACAGAAACCGGCGTGTGACTATCGCAACAAGGATTGCACACAATTTCCATTTCACCCCTCGAAAATTGAGCAAATGCTGTGGACCCTCAGAAAAGGCTTTGCTGTTGCCATCGTCATGGTCTATGGATGTTTATGGTTTTCCTTCGTGACATGCTGCCCATCTGAATTGCGGTGAAACCATATCTTCACCCGAGGCCATCCGGTGGAAAAGTGCCGGAATACGCTTGCGATGATGATGCAAAAAGAGCGCAACAAAAACTCGGGACTGAAGGGTCGTATAATGTCGTATAGTCGTATAGATAATGTATGTCAATGTTAGTTCCAATTTCCCTGAAAGTGAAGAGTCTTTCTTTTCCGTCTCAATAAGGATGGAAAATGGATTCCGAAATAAACAAATGGAATCCTTGTTCGATCTAGGCGCCTATCCTTCGAACATGGCCATGCTGAAAAATCGATATTTCCAACAGGTCAAGCATCTATAATATGGTTACTGCTATTTGCACCCGGGCATGTGGCCTTGGGAGATGCCACAAGATTTGGCTATTGGTTGTTGGCCACATCCGGCCAGTTGATCTGTCTCATCATATTGCTAAAGTTCTCATCTCTTCCTTCACATCCTTCACCCCTGTGGCCAAAATTCATGGCACCCCAACACACATTGCGAAAAAACATCGTCAACTCATCCAGCAGATTGGGCACCCAAAGTCGTGCAACACACGGACGGCTTCAGGCGCAGTGAGACGTGAGTTCAGGGTTTCAGGCGATCGCTGGCAGAAACCGTTGTGGTTTACCATAGCCCATATACTGGGGATCTCCCATTCATCTAACTGGGGTATTTCATATTATATACTGAGGTTATATAATATATATATATATAATGTATTATAATGTTATATATCCATATATTTCCACTCACCGGGCAAGAAACACGGCCTTTGTCCAGCAATCTCTGGTTGCGTCAGCGCTTCAATAGAAGATGTCCAACTCCTGGGCGTTGACTCCATGGTTTCGGTTCACGTACCAATGGGCAGCTGCCATGGGATTGTAGTTGTTAAATGTTGTTAATAGTCATTGAATGTCATTGACTGTCATTGATGAGAGTTGTAAAAACATTAGCAATGGGACTAAAAATATGAACGTGCCTGTATAGATATAAATAAATAAATACATATATATATATATAATATTGCATGATTGAATGGCTAATTGATTTTCACCAGCTTTCTGTAAGGTACCTGTCTATGTCTAGTAAGGGCCCATTCTTGTTTGGATACAAACGAAGGCATCCACAGCTGTGGCCAACAAATACTCGATAACAGTCTTGTTTGGATGCCCTGAGGACCTCGTACAAAGTCATCATTTATGATCTTCCTACAGTATTGAACATATATCATCAATTATCATCATAAATGATTATTGTAGTTGATACTGTAGGACAATTGTCATCATCTATTGTCATCATATCCCTTTTCACAGATATTGTTGATTGCGGACAATTGATGATAATTGCCTCTTATCAATCAATTTCCCCTAAGAAATTTGGAACTCATTGTGGCCACTGTCAAATACCGCCCCCCAAAGTTCTAGGACTGGTCCTTGTGCACCTCAGAAGTAGAGCAGGTCGGACATGGCAACCCTACATGGTGTACCATTCTGAACCCACAAATGGCTGGTTATACGCCTGAAACTATCCATTTCTGGGGACAAATCATCTTGAGCGATTCCCATCTGCTGTCTCCAACGTCGGAAGCCACAAGAACTCATTGTAGCTTGAATTCCAGTTTGAAAGCCTGCACCCGAGCACATTTGTCATGGGCATTTTTGCCAATGTGAATGAACATAGGCCACCAAAGATGCAGTCAAACAATGTGTATGTACATATAATATATTATAATATACATATACAGTATACAGTATACATATACATGATTATACATGTATATTTCACTATGTAATGCATCTCTCTGGACACAGCTTGCATGAAATACGAATGTGGAAACCACAATCATCCCGCCGGGTGGGTAATTGAACGTGGCGGCGTTGCCTTTTTGATGTTTGTGGATGCTGTGTCGTTTTAAATTTTGCAATGGCTTTCATGTCTTTTTGTCAAGTTTGCGTCTCATTTCCATTGGTTTTATTGCTCTTCTGTGCGCAGGCCATCAAAATTTGACATTTCATCCCCAGAAAAGTACTCTATTTTTGGGGGTCATTTCACAAAGTGACAGTGGGGCCATAGTTTTTGCACATGAAAGCGACTATTTTTTCTGCAGAGCTGGTGGTATCAGTTTGGTCACATCTGTGCCACGGTCTTGCCAGTCAGAGACATGAGGACATCTCCGTGTTTCAGGGATTCCCAGCGCCATTGGGATGCTAACGTGGTTGGAAGTTGATAGAGAAGATAACGATATAGTTAGAAAATGTCTTAGAAGAGATGCTAACGCAGTTGGAAGTTGATGGCGAAAATAAAAGCGTAGTTAGAAGTTAGAAGATGTCTTAGAAGAGATGCATACACAGCTGGAAGTTGATAGAGAAGATAACAACACAGTTAGAATATGTCTTAGAAGAGATGCTAACGTAGTTGGAAATTGATAGAGAAGATAACAACGTAGTTGGAATGTCAAAGAAGTCAGTAACGTAGTTGGAAGTTCTTACTACAAAGGACGTTAATACCCCACCCCACCCCGTGCAAGATGTTAGAGAAGTGAATGACGTAGTTGGAAGTTCTTACTACCAAGGACGTTAATACCCCACCCTACCCCACCCCTACCCCACCCCGTACAAGATGTTAGAGAAGACAATAACGTAGTTGCATGGAAGTTCTTACTACAAAGGACGTTAATACCCCACCCCACGCAGTTAGACAATTATAATAGTGACAACTACACCTTCGGTTGTCCACCAGTAGGCACAATCATCCACCAGGTCCCAGTCTTCTTCCCGAACTCTGTGGCATGTTGTTGGACATCTAAGACATATACATGATAATAGCTGCCGTAAACAAATCAAAATGCCTGCAGTGAAGCTATGACTGGATCACGAATCCAAAAGGATGCAACCTGCTGCAACCTGGAACCAGAAAACGGCTCACCCCAAATCATAGTGGTTCCCAAATTACCATATCGTACAATTTCCAGCTCCCAGCTTCAAGGGCTGCCGCCAAGGCCACTTTCGAGGGAGTTGGCGCAGTGCTGAGCCCTGTGTATCTGGGCTTGGAATCTACAAAGGCCTCGCCGGCTGCCATGAACTGGTCGGTTTCTGGACTCCGCAATGATCAAAAAAAATAACAGGAAAAATCCAATGAATATGCGAATAGATCATGAAACCACTATGATCAATTATTAATCGATCCATGAATCATCCAACATTTTTTGAGGATGAAGTTTACGGTATAGTTGAAACATGTTGAAACTAAACCATTGGACACCCATGGTTGACCGTCGGAGTTTCCAGGATCTCTCTAGTCATCTTGAACACCTCATGAAGGGATGGTCATTGCTGTTTCATTGGATACGTTCAACACTTTCAACATCAAATTCCAGAAATCCCATATAAATCCTATTAAATCCTACCTTGTGATAGAAACAAGGCGAAATGTATCAACATGGATTGAGCACTGGCAGCATTCACCATGCCCAATAAACATGTCCGGAACCCTGTGGCAAAATCAGCTTGGGGATCAGTGCTAAATTTCGACAGCAATCTTTCATCCCCAAGAACGGCCGGACACTCAAAATGTTTCATCGGATTAAGTCAATTTGATGTAGATTCAGACATATGTGTAGGTCATTTGTGACGTTATTGTTGTGTTCGGTGATTGTCAGGTGATAGAAATCGATCAAACATGATCAAATCCAGCTGAGCGAGTAAAACCCAACCAAAGAGAAGGCAATATCATATTTAAAGTTTTTCTATTTGAGATGTACCGCTTACAAAACCATTCTTCGGTAAGAGTGGGAGAATCATATCTCTTCCTAGGGCCTTCTCATGCGGAACTTAACAAGATCTGCCTATTTTGAGGTGGATAGGGACTGAGGCCAACCAGCAAATGTCTGCAACTTCTTCTTGACACTAAATAAATAGAATTCATCTGTCTAACTAATGTTGTCTAATTACCTCTGAATTCATCTTCAATGAGTGTTCTTGAACCAAGGCTCCGCCCCCTCAACAGAAACATCATTGTTTTACACCGGGTAACCAACATTAACCCCCCTGTAAAACATCAAGCCCATCAAGCCCATCAAGCCCCAGGGTCGCATCAATCACCACCGCCATGACCCACCTTAGTGAAGTAGTTGGTGCTGGGGAAGTAGCGATCTGGCACCTGCGAAACCAAGGAGGCTAGATCTCGCTGAACGATCGATTTTTTTTTATCTAAATATACTTATAAATATCACTAGATATGCATGTGTGCGAATGGGTCAAAATTGGCTACCCCAATAATTGGATGGTTAATACTAAACTGTGGTCCCCCAGGTCTTTAATTTTGATTTGTCCCAATGTAAACTGTACCTAATATGCCTAATGTGTATAGTATTCGTACTGGGATGATAAAGAATGGATCCGATCTTGGATTCTCGACTTTTGACTCGTATCCATGTAGACCTCTTACTACACATGGCTTGGAACCTGATTAATTCATTTCGAAATATTTCGAATATGGCCAGTGGCCACGCCGTGGGAAGCCAACACAAATTGACAAGCACAGAAACATTCTTATGGTTTGGTTCTCAATAAACACATGTTTGTGTTCTATCTATAGGTTCAGCCATAGCCATCAATGTATGTTTAGATGCCATTTGGGGATGAAATGACAATGATTGGTGTTTTCCATGTCGATTTGATGATATCGTCCAAACATCAGAACTGAGGCAACAAAGTAGGAGTGTGCGACCTGAAAAACATGTGTTTATAATATGATACCTAAAATCATATACACGTTCATAAACACATCGGCTTATTTCTAGATGCAAATATATTGTATATATATGTATACGCAACATAAACATTGCATGCATATCAGCATATCTTCGTGTCAGCCTTCCAGGCACAAAACATACAATTCCGCCGGAACTGGCGGCAAATGAGTTCAACAAATTAGCATTTCAAACAATCAAAGCTGTTTTTGACGCGGATGGAGCTGAGAAAACAATGGCAGTGCCTATGTCCCCAATAATCCAAGGATATCCCAGGGTTGCAAAGGTCAGGAATGTTTGGAACCACAACTTGCGAACCAGCCAACTACCAGCCCGCCAACGGAGTCCATGCCTGATGATCCATGGGCATTTCGCTGCCATACGCCTGAAGCGGGAGTACTTTCAACCCCTTCATAAAAACACTGGCGATTTCAGCATCCCGTGTCAGGGATGGAACAGAACAAATGATACAAATGCTTGTAACATCTTGTAACCACAAAGCAGGCAATTTGTGAGGATTTCACCAACCAACACGGGGATTGCAGCAAGACACATGTGTTTTTTTTGAACTGGAAGCTATAGATACAAGGAAGAGCCTACAGAGCGAAGCTTGACCAAATCGGTTAGTGGTCAAGCCACCCTCACCAAAAACTACTGTTTGCTCAACGAAGTGGAGTTTTTTGTTCCCAGAAAAAACACCAGTCCTTTTTTGGGAGCGACTTCGAAAACTGCAAAATGACTGAACCATATTTACTCTAATTGTAATACACATGCATACATATGCTCTGAATAAAAATGGCACCTGAAGATCCTGAATGTTCACTTAACTAACTTAACAAACTATTCGATATCTGAACCGATTCGTAATATGGAGTTCCCATTCATTATGAACCGTATTTTGAGATTTCCCATCACTATTTGTTCACATAATCAGATCAAAGGCCAAGAGGAAGCGCGACTCTGGAATGATTTTGGACTTGGGAACACTTGGAACAAGGATGACCAGTGATGACATGGAAAAACATCGCTTCAACCAGAAACAATGGTGGCACATCAAGGGCGAACCCTGGACCCCACCTGTGCACTGGTGGAGAAGAGGGGGTTGCTGGCACCTGCGCTGTCCACACTCCAGTGACCCCTGGAGGTGACATGATCCACTCCAAAAAGTGGTCGTTTCGGTTGCAGGTGCAGTGCATATACGCGCATATATATATATAGACATAATATATTCATACCTCATATATAATATATATGATGTACATATTATATTCATACCTCATATACAATGTACATATGCATATCACATGCTCGCTCCCCGTCAATGACATGTCGTTTTCTCAACATGTGTTCTTTATAAAGTACGTATCAGACGTGTCCAATGTCTATATAGATATATACATGCAATCTAAATACTTCTGTATAGATACAGTATTTTGCATGCACAGTGATTAGCAGTTCAGATTCATCCCCAAATCATGCTCGTTAATAGTTGCTACTTTAGATTATTTAGCCCAGAGCAAGAAGGCAAGTAAACCATGTTTGAAAACCACAATCCAACCAGTATTTATTAGTTCCATCTCAACTGTTATTCATGGCCGGAGATATCCATTTTTTCATTGCCTCTAGACTCTCCATTTTTGGTCAGTTTTTAAGCCCCCCATGTCGCAAGAACGTGCCATTGTGACTTGGAACATCCGACATCCAAAGTTCTTACGTTCGTAACCGTTAGTCCAATTGTGACCCATCACCCGGTGTTGCAACTGTGTTGCAACTGCCATGAATGGACACATCATTCAAAGCATTTCAAAGCTGTGCGTTGTTTCACTCAGTTTATTGGTTTCTGAAGATGGGGCAACCCACCGTCCAGGAATCCAATCTGTCGTAAAACAAGGATGAAACAAGCAGAATTTCATAGAATTTCAACCATGATTGTGTACCACAGGACAATCCACCAAAATGACCTATCTGCCTAGCTGGGACATTTTGTAATTCATGGTGCCCCTAGTGACCAAAACACTCATTGATCACATGTTGTGAGCAATATACCATGAGCCCCGAGCCCGAAGCGTTCATGGCTGGCTGGGATTCGGATGTTAAAAAATAATCGTTTGCAGACAAGCTAAAAATTGACCAGAAAACATCAGAAAACACACAAAACAATGCGTTTGGATATGCAAAGAAAACAACATGTGTCATGGGATTGAACAAAATTCACCTCCTGTCTGTGGCATGATCCCTGAAACCAACAAGAAATGGATGGTAGTTGGCTCCTGGTCCATTCTGAGCTGGATATGTTTGGTCACACCTTGCCATTCAAAAATATGACTTTTCCTTTTATATCATTTTATATCTATATAGCCGCTATATACTACCCAGTGCAAATCCAAACAAGACCCAATCATGACTTGGAGAAAAATATCCCAAAGGCATGACCCATTTCCTGAGCGATGTCGTGCTGGCCACCTTTCTTCCCGCTGGGCGGATAGCAGTAGTTCTGCGCCTGGCGGCAAAAGGGGTAGCAACATGGTCGAAGGATGTGCCTACGGTTCCTACATTGTTGGCGCATAGATGTTTCTTCCGGATTGGTTGATATCCCATGCTATCCCCACAATTTCGGGATTTTAAATCAATCACCTGGTTCTCAACATATGTCCGGTGTAGTATGTCCCATGCAAGAGTCACCGTTTGCGGGCGGGCAGGGATAGTCTATGATGGCCCGTCGGAGATTTCGGAATGGTGCGTGAGTGAACATCTAGTCGGTGGCCATCCTTCCTCCACATGTTCAGTTGTTCACTTTGGAACAGTGAGTTTGAGTACCAAGGTGGACCCAGAGTCCAACGGTGACATGGTTGGTTTGTACATGCACACCCATGGTTTTAGCTGATACTTGGAGATGCAAAACCGTGGAATTCTCCTAGTTGTTTTGGAACATTTCCATTACCTTTTTACATACCCCATAACATCCCATAACGTTTATCATCAAGTCCAGCCGTTCTGCACCGTTGTCGTCTTGTGATGTGCCCCCTGCGCCTTTGAAATGGCCAGCAGAAAAGTGGCCCAGCAGGCCCAACCATTTCTAGAAACACATATGATGTTCTCCAAAGTCAGTTGGTCGTGCGGAATTGGTATTTCATTTCTGTTGTCACATAACGTTAGACATCTTAAACATTCATAAACCTGTTTTGTGATGGCTACAACCTAAATTTTAAATGGTGAAAGCCTCATCCCTAATGTGCCCACAGCATTTTTATGATTCCCCCTTCCGACGGAGCCGTTGTCCCCCGTCGCCTGCACAGGGAACTTCTTGGGAACCACATCAGCCGAAAGGACCTGAAAAAGGGCCAGCCATGCTGGACTGAAATTTGGAATGGCCATCGGATGGTACCCTTAAGATCGCGTAAGACTATAGCAAGGGCAGGACATCTCACAGCTATGAAAGCGTCGCCTGGGACGCTGTTTCCATGCTCTGTTCTTGCCATTTCTTGCCTCTGCTCCGGCCACGTACTCAGGGTCACCTTTTCACCCTGATCATCCTTTGGATTTTTGGATGCCCAACCACCTCTAGAGCTTGTCAGGGCAAGTCATAGCACTATCCAACCTGCTAAAAAAATGTTTGGGATGATTTCCCCGATTTCAATATAATTGTGGTAGGGTGGGCCAATGAGGTACTTCGGATCCCAGAGGAAGGTGATGTTATCCCTCATTTTGTACATCCCCAATTCTGAAATTCTGGATAAAATCATGGCGGTGACTGAAACCATTGCATCTTAACTGGTGGTTTCAACCCCCCAAAGATCTGAACTGATCAAGTTCTGCTTTTAACCCTTGATTGAAAAGTGCAGAAAACTCAAAAAAGGGGGTAGCACAATGAAGCACCTCGGAACCAATTCATAAAAGATAACTATCAACAAAATCATTGATTTTTTTGGTGGGATTTTGGCGTAATTTCAGTTCAAATTCAAATTCATATGAACTTCAATTCAAATCACATTCAAATTCAGTCGAGATTCAATGCAAATTCAGTTCGATTTCAGTTCAAACTCAAACCCAATCAAACCAAGTTGAAGTCAACTTAGGATCAAGTTAAATTAAAGAAACAATATCCATCTCCATTCACAGACAGTTTTTCATGAATACATTTCTGAACCATGTATCCGTTTTCAACTACACAATTTGTTCCGCAATACTAAAGGGTCCCAACATGAGAATTATGTATTCTTTCAACTAGGCAATTAATTGGAGCAATACTAAAAGGATCCCACGATAACACGTATTATGTCTTTGTTTTCAATCAGGCAATTTGTTCAGCAAGACTAAATGCTAAATGTCATCTGGATATATCTGGGTAAATTATAATATTTCACTAACCTGAATTAATGCCATTTGGGGATGATTTCCCTTATCAACCATGATTCCAGTGAGGTCGCAGTGAGGTCGTTATAATTTACCCATATATATATATAGATGCTTTCAATGATACAATTTCTTCAGGAAGACGTTTTATGCTTTCAGTCCCCATTTCAGTATCGAAAAAAAATCTGGCATTCTGAGATGTTCAACGGGTCCCCTTCCCAGTCCGACAAGGCCAAGCGGTGCCTTGTCCACCTGCATGGACTTCTTCTCCTCGGCCATCTGGTTCGCCAGCACACACTTCGCCTCGCAACAAAAATCAAGGCGAGGACTACTGTGAGTTGATGTGTGTACAATGTACAGGTAGATATGTATATATATATATGAATATATGTATACACATAATATAAATCTTTGTATACACTATATACACATATATTTGGTGGGAGTATTAGTTGTCTATACAGTCCTATACACCTTGAATTATGTGTATCTATACTATAGATAGAATATGATAAAATATACATGACTATATATATATAGATGTAAACGCATTGGGGACAGGAGATTAAATAGCCATCCTATGGTCGGATGTCTCTGTCGGGAGCTGCCTGTAAACACAGCATCAACAAATGACTGGTTGGTGATTAACATATATCAAAATACATGTGGATGTTCAGCGAAGATTAAACACATATCGAAACCACCAGCCAAATAATCAAAAACACATGTTTGCAAGCCAATACGCGCAGGGTGACATCGCGGAGTGATATGCTATAGAAGAAACATGATGCGCAGAAAACATGAGAAAACTCACCTGGCAATGCTACCACAGCAGCGAATCCTGAGAGTTAGCACTGTAGAAACTTTTATAAACACGGAGAAACTTTGACGGGCACTGGGTCATACGGTACCACCACCATGCAATCAACCCTGGAAACTTCTCCGACAGTCGGTAAAAAATCAGGGTAAATCATCCCAAGTTGGGACTGTTTCATGAAACGAATGTTCTTTGAAAGCAGAAATTAGTTATTGAAGTGTTGCAAAATCCCTTGTCCTATAAAAATTAGTTACTGATTGTTTTAAGATCCCAGTTTATAAATTAGTTACTGGCATCCAAAAAACAATCTGGAAATATCGCCAGTGTCCTTGGCTGCATCCCTTGATCAGAGCCAGAGCCCCGCTGGGCTGCCAGGCTGTGGTCTGAATGGGTCGAACCTGGGGCGGAAGTTCCTGGTTTCATGGTTCTGGCCGGCCTCAAAAATTCAATTAATGATTTTGCGGCCAACATGACACACATCTGCTGTTATTTTCGTCTGAACCTGATTTGTGCATGCCGCTGTTGGGGTGAGTTGGACGTATTCAATACTAA